ATCGTCCAGCCAGGCCTCCCTGCGGAATCCACTCCCAGCCCGGCCACCGGTCAAGTCAAGAGCCCTGTTTATGAGTCCAAGTGCGGGGGGGCCGCCCGGCGGCCACCGGTCAAGTCAAGAGCCCTGTTTATGAGTCCAAGTGCGGGGGGGCCGCCCGGCCGGGCTGAGATCTCCGCCCTGCGGCCCGGGCGGCAGCGAAGGCACTGAGTGAAAGTCCCCTGCAGAAAGGGGCCGTCCGAGGCTCTAGGGCGCCCGCAGCTGGCCCAGGCTGGTGTAAACGTCCTCGGCGGCGCTCAGCTCCTCGAAGACGGGGATGAGGTTGAGCAGCTCCGTGTCCGCCATGTCGTCGAACCAGGACTGGACGGGCACCTGCGGGAGCCAGGAACGGGGAGGGGGGGGGGTCCCGTTATTGGATTCCACAGATCACCGCTGCACCCATGGGGGGGCTGCCCTAAAAGTCTGTCTAAAGGGGCCATGCGAGGTGTCACAGGAAAGCTCGTGTTCTCCTGAGCCTGGCTGTGCCATTCATGTGCGTGTCGAATACCGGCATGCGGAGTTATCACCATGGACTCTGGGTTGATGGTGGGAAATTGTCTGTCTGCGGCAGAGCAATGGGCGAGGAATGTTCGTTCAATGTCTATGCTAATTAGCGAGGCTCCATGGATCACAGATCTCCAAGTGCCAGACACACCTGGAGGAATGTGTCTGGATACCTGCAAGCCAGCCAGGGCATAATGGCTGCAAGCATGTGAAAGGAGGACAGATCCCTGAACCATGTGACCTGCTCTGGCCAGGAAGATGTCAGGGGAGGAATAAAAGTGCCACGTGGCAATTTCCATCTGGTCTCGAGTTCAGCTCCTGATCCCAGATGCAGCCTTGCAGGGACCAACGAGCCGGGAAGAACCGTGGACCCGTCCCGACACAGGATGTAACCAGAGACTTTTAAGCCAGCAGTTTGGAACATCTCTGCTAAGAGCCTGCATCGAGAACTGGGGGATTCGGTGCATGTGATGGATTTTCCTTAACCTCCCTCTCAGCCTTTTCTTTCTTTTAGTAATAAACCTTTAGATTTTAGATTCTAGAGGGTTGGCTCAGCGTGATCTTTGGGTAAGATCCAGAGTGTAAATTGACCTGGGAACTGGCTGGTTTCTAGGGACCGGAAGAACCCGTTTGGGGGAGGTGAGATCGGGGTCTATAACCCCTCACCTGTGGGCAGGCCTGGGGCTGACTGGGGCACAGGGAGAGCTGGGATGTCTGAGGGGTTTTGCTCGTGAGGCTTCTGGCTGGCCAGGCTGGCAGCGGGAGCGCTCGGTGTGGCTGGTTTGTGGCCTGTTTGGGAAGGTCTCCGGTCTGGGGCTGCAAGGAGCCCCGCGTTTTGAGCAATTCGCCCTGAGCAGAAGCCCTCAGCTGTGCCTAGACCCGGCCCGGTCCGTCACAGGGGGGCACCACATCTGTCTGACAGAACCGCGTTCTCCGGGTGGAAGATGTAGGAGGCCGGCGAGTTGTCCAGGATCAGCGTCTTGCGCAGGTCCCGACCCAGCCGGCTCAGGTCCTTGACGTAGCAGCCCTGGTGGAAGACGCAGGCCTCCCGGAAGAGCCGGGTGCGGAACACGCCGCACCGGTCCAGCAGGTCCGTCACCGGGTCGGCGTACTGCCGAGAGAGCGGGGTGCACTCAGAGCGGGACGGGGAGGGGGGCTTGGGCCCCTGCCATCCCCCCATGCCGGGGCCAGCAGGAGCAGCTGGGCTAGCTCAAAAGACCCTCCCCCCCGCTTTCACCTAGCTAGCAGTGCAGAGAACCCCTCCCCCACCACGCCCCCTGTGCCCGCTGCAGGCTGGCGGGGGGGGGGGCGC